ATTGAAAATAAACTGATCTTTTGCTAAATAAACAGTAAATGCAAAAGTAAATACTACAATACATGTATTTACAATACGTGTGTATTATTTCAAATCTGATTGATATACATAATCATGTTTTACAAGTATGCATTATCGACACTTTGTAGATATAGCAGATATCAGAACCAAAAAGTCGTGGACGTAGCACGGAAAAGACCCAAAAGATCGTGGACATTACCTACGGGATTCTTGGACATTGGTTACGTAGTTCAATGTGCACGTTTTGTGCATATAGAGGCGCTAGCCCACAGAAACACGTAAAATGCGGGCATGTCCAGTCTCAGTCTTCTCTCTGTTATTACCAAATATTTGGTAATGAGGACGGAGTGATATAGTGATTATTACCAAATGTTTGGTAATGAGGACGGAGTGATATAGTGATTATTACCAAATATTTGGTAATGAGGACGGAGTGATATAGTGATTATTACCAAATATTTGGTAATGAGGACGGAGTGATATAGTGATTATTACCAAATATTTGGTAATAATTACCAAATCACTTCGGCCTCATCACCAAATATTTGGTAATAATTACCAAATATTTGGTAATTGGGACGAAGTGATTTAGTTCCCATTGCCAAATATTTGGTAATTAGGACGAAATGATTTAATTCTCATTACCATATATTTGGTAATTTAGACGAAATTTTTTAAAGAGTGGATACAACTTGACAGCTTGAGGTAATGTAAACAATTGTCATAGAAACATTTATAAATTGCTAATCAATATTGCTTTGTCAATCATTTAAATATAAACTGTCAAAATATATTTTTTGCACATGATATTGAGATAACCAATCAGCGTCGCGATAAAACTGCAACAATACACTTCGATACTTTCGAGATTTCGATATATTCGACTATTGACTTCTCATGTCTTTTTTAAGAGTGGAAAATGGATTTTGGTTGATCTAACTATAAAATGGATTATGGTCGATCCAACTATAAAATTATGGTTGGATCAACCATAATCGGATTCCTGGCCGCTTCAGCCATAAAATTATGTTTGGATCAACCATAATCGAATTCCTGGCCGCTTCAGCCATAAAATTATGGTTGGATCAACCATAATCGGATTCCTGGCCACTCCAGCCATACAATTTTTGTTGGATCTACCACAATGGATTATGGTCGATCCAACTATAAAATTATGGTTGGATCTACCACAATAGATTATGGTCGATCCAACTACAAAATTATGGTTGAATTAACTACAAAATTCTTTCGTACCCTTTCCCTGTAAATTAATATATTTCTAGTATCGATCTTTCATGCCTTTTTTAAGAGACGCCAGCTAGCGACAGTTCTATATTCTGCTTCTTGATGTTGTCCCAGAGCGGCCTCCGATGCGGACATCGTCTCAGGCATGCAGAATAGACTTCATAGACCTGATTTTACGATTTGTCGGCTTCGAAAAGCTCAATTTTTATTCACATGTATTATTCAGCGTTCTAAATCTACATTATTCTTCTTTAAATATATGCATATTTTATCTAATTAAGTATGATGATATGTGACGTTAAAATAATATTATTAAAATATTGCAACAGACAAAAATTTCTTACGCTTGCACATAAGCAGCCTGTTTTGACGAGGAAAAATCTTGATAAGTTTTTATCGCGCGCTTACGTATGTATGATATGTATCGTAGATATACGGATATCTGACAAGAAAGAAATAGTCATTTGCCAGCAAATCCGACTCGCGCATCTAGTTTCTCTAGATATTCTTTCTCTAAAAAGTTATTCAAAACGCGTGTGTAGCTGTATGAGATTTTTACGAGTATATCCGCAAAAGTTACGCAAGACAGGGTGAGTTCGATAGCGTTGCATCCTAGAATTTCTACATTCAACAAACAGTTGCTTCCAAGAAAGTTATAAGAAATTGAATTTTATACAAGATAAACTAATTGTTTAAAGAAAAAATTAAAAAATTTAAGAAAAAATATACAAGTAAAAAATATCTAAATAATTTTGCAAAAAAATTTATAATAAACGTCCTAATTTTTTACATATTTTTAAATTCCTTTTTTATTTGAATACAACTTGACAGCTTGAGGAAATGTAAACAATTGTCATAGAAACATTTATAAATTGCTAATCAATATTGCCTTGACAACCATTTAAATATAAACTGTCAAAATATATTTTTTGCACATGACATTGAGATAACCAATCAGCGTCGCGATAAAACTGCAACAATACACTTTGATACTTTCGAGATTTCGATACACTCGACTATCGACTTCTCATGCCTTTTTTAAGAGTGAATAATGTACATTCCCTTAGGAAAATTTACTTTAGACAGGCCTAAAGTTTATTAAAGTTTTATTTAGTAACTTTAAAAATTTGAAAAGTTCTTTTAAGTAACTATAAAAATTTTCAAGTTTTGTTTAAGTTATTTCAGAGTTTTAAAAATATCCCTGAGTTTTTGCTTCTTTAGTTATTGAAGACATAAAGTTCATGAAAAATATTTAAAAGTTTATGTTAAGTAACTTAATGGTGGTGTTTAGTAATTTAAAGTTTGCGTAAAAGTAAGTAAAAGTTTGTGTAAAGTAACTTCAAGACCAACTTTAACTTTAACTTAAACAAAACTTACAAATTTTTATAGTTACTAAACAAAACTTTAATAAACTTTAGGCCAGTCTAAAGTAAATTTTTCTAAGGGTTGTTACATAATTAAGAAATGCAGTAATTGCAAAAAATTTTTCCATGCATTAAAGTCATTATAAGACATCAAAACAGAAGAGATTATCTATGATCCAGTTTATTATACAATTACAATATCTTTCGCTAACTGTGATAAATAATAATCGTAATAATCGTAGTATATCTAGATAACACGAACTATTTACGATTGATATGATTTTATTTATACACCATTCGGCATTCTCGCTTTTTCTTTCTCTCTCCTTTCTCTCCCTCTCACACGTCTTTTTATTTTTTTTTCTCTTCCAAAAGGATCACCCTTTCATCAAAAGATGAAAAAGGACTGCAAACACGCATTAGCAAGAAATTTGTCTAATTATTACAGTCCATTGACGGAAAGATTCGCGAGTTGCGATACCGTCGTTCGTGATCGCACGACGTAGTTGATAATTTTTAGTACAAAATAAGCAAACGATTTTTCGTTCTCGTTTGAACGGAGGTCTCCGATCGTCGCGTTTTAAGAACTGTCATACCGTGCTCTTCGCGTATTATTTTTACACGATTATGTTATACGTTTCGTGTTAACGTGTTATACATCGAACGTTAATAAAATCTATGGTAACCCTATGATCTTCCACGAAGACATCAAAAAATTGGATACTTTAAATTATGCATGAAGGTATAAAATGCTGAAATTGAGAAAATTTCGGATTTTCTAAAGAATATGACGCAATGCATCAAACTAAATTATCTATGCAATCCGGATAACAATTTAATACTTATATATGTTATAGATTCTTTTTCTTATATTTTAGAAGACAAAAAAGTCGAGTTTTATAATCATTAAAAAGCAGATTAAATATTTTTATACGTTATCAATTTTCAGCTCATTGTTAGTTTTTCTAAATTAGCATTAGCACCATCATAATTTAAAATATCCAATTGCATCTTATATCGAGAATATAAACTCTCCTACAAATAGTCGACTAATTGGTATACCCGGAGCTTTTTAGCTTCGTTTTCTCCTAATTACTGAACATCTAGAAACGCCTTAAGCCAATTACTATTGGATTTAAATAAAAAGCAGAAAATAACTCTTTGCATTTATCTATCTGCTTCTAAATTTGATGTATTTTATAAACAATAGCTCTTAATAACGAATAAGAAAGAACAGTTATTTGAATATTTTGTGAATAATCATGCAATTAAATTTTACTGATTTACAATAGTAATTGTTGATATTGCTGAACATTAATTTAAAATTAAGAATCGTGTGCACATATTATTTTTAATTCTGCTTTTTATTTCGTCCAATCGTAAATTGGTTTTTACGCACGTATATGGCGCATCGAGTATTATTTATCTACTACTAAATTGTATATACAGATAGTATATACAGAATATGAAGGTGACGGGACGGTAAGAGAAAAATACATTTCTAGCGCGACACTACGGTCGCAACAATAAAAAACGATGATCCTCGTAGTTATAAAATAAAGATCCCATCGATAATAATTCATACCGACCTTATATTTTTTTTCACAAGGATACAAACTGAAAATGTGACTGAAGGGAACAAAGGAGCGGGATTACAGAAAATCAAATGATAAAAATGCTGATGTAATTAAATTTACTAGCATTTTTATTCTCAAATAATAAAAGTTAAAATATAATGAGAAATAATAATAATTAATAATAATTATTAATA